AGGGATCTTGGGCCTAAAAAGGTTGGTGACCACTGGTCTACAGAAATGCATTCGTGTTTTAGATCCTGGTTGGTGAATAGAACATCATCTTATTCCTTTATTTCTTTAAAATCTATTTTTTTCATATCTCTTGTTGTCTACAGTTATCTGACGGTGACATTCAGAGCTATCATGAACACTACATTCCCAGAATGAATGAGATGGTGGCTTTTAACATGGTGAGCATGACATTATTTTTATCACTAACTCTATATCTGCCTCATGCTGGTTTTCATCTTCCACAGTTGAAAGTCATTTTGGCTCCGTGTATAGAGGGTCTCATCCTCCTCGACCGACTTTGCTACTTGAAAGAGCAGGTAACAAACCAATTGTCAGAACAGATAACAGTAACACTACATTTTACCCTCAAATGTACATTTGCCCCATAGATTTGTGCTTGTAAAGATATATAATCCTCATATAATTAGAGAACTGTGAGGGGCTTTTGTTTCAGACTTTACTTCAGTACCACAACACAGATTTCCCAAGTCAGCAACTTATTCTCACAGCATATATACCAACAGACTTTAGCCACGTATAGCAGATCCAAAACAGTCCAAAAACTGGTTTCCAACTTACAGGAGTTCAGAGGTTTTAAGTTACACATCCATTTCCTTCTTGCCCACCAGGCTTTGAACATAAAACCTCAAACCTCCTCGCGACGACAGTCAGGAGTGTCAGACTCAGCCATCTGTGAAGAACGTTAGACTGAAAATTTAGGGCATGACAAAATCATTTTGTTTATACCCACAAAACAGTGACAGCAAGTTTCTGTGGGATCAATTTCCACATGATCTTACAGGGGTTACTTATCAGTCATGTAATGTAAAGCAAGTAAAACCTCCCCAATGTCAGATCTATGTTTTTTTTCTACAGAGGTCTATGATTTGTGTATGTCTGACATTAAAGGGCTTGGCAACATGATAAGGTTTCTCAGTGACGACTCTGTGAACTCCGCTAACCACATTGAAATCAGAGTCCGCTTTACAATTTGCCCTGTGGAGGGTTTTGTTATGTATAAACCATTTCATAACACGGTACTCTGGGTGTGCTGCCAAGTATATTAACGTGATTTGGTCAGTGATTATGGAAAGCTGTAATATGGATTTTGGATTGAAACAAGCTGTGCTCAGTTAAGTTGATTATTTTGATCAGGTCCAATATACTTTTTTACTTATGGATATGCTGGAAACTTAATTTAAATTACGGTTAATCTAAAATAATATATCCTGAGTGTGTGTGTGTGTGTGTATATACTGAACTTATGATCCGATTGTTTTTAGTGAATCAGAACCATACAAAGTGACCAGGTAGATTGATTCCTGAATGAATGACTCTTATGATTATGTTCTTTTCAAGGAATCAGAAACATAGAGCGCGAGCACAGTGTAGTCTGATTCCCGAACAAATGATTCTTTTGAATCAGTTCTTGTTAGTGAATCAGAAATATGAAGCATGACCAGTGTACCAATGCCTGACAAATGGCTCTCATGAGTTAGTTCTTTTTAGTGAGTCAAAAACAGACAGCATGAACAGTGTAGTCCATTCCTGAACAATTGATTCTTATGAGTCAGTTCTTTTTAGTGAATCACAGAGAAACCAGTGTAGCCTGGTTCTTGAACAAATGATCGCAAAGCATTGCAAAGTCATGATCCTTGATTTCATGTTGAGAAAGCCTCACATGCATGAATATATAAGCTACACCAGTGCATCTGGATTTCAGACTTTCACATTTCTACATTTAAATAAAATATCTCTTTTCTTTCAGGACAATGTGTCTCATTCTGCGCTGGTTCAGCTCTTTGACCCTCTCCAGTCCCCTAGATGTTATGCAGTTGTTGGTATAAAGGAATCTACCGTTTGAAGACCAAATCTATAGCCCTGCTGTTTAGTGTAATTTATTGATTTAATTTTAATTTATTCTTTTGGTAAAACTTTGTTTTTATTTTTTATATTATTCATTTTGTTTTTAAAGTCAAATTCAAATGAACTCTTGCCAATTTTTCAAACAACAATAAAAATGCTTTTTTTTATTTATGTAATTATATTTTACAAAAAATTATGTCAAATATAATTTGTCAAAATAGGGTTGTTCACAGTAAATTAAAAGCAGTTTTTCATTCCGGCTGCTCCAAAGACCTGGCCGTATTAGTCTCCAGATCGGTTCAGTTATGAAGCATAACGGTTCGGTCTGCAGCTTAAAGCGGAAAGATATAGTGAT